AGCACCTTCCTCCCTTGCCTGGCTGTGGGCACTGGTGCTGTCAGGTGGAGGCAGGTGACATTCCAGCTTATCCTGCACAGACCCTCTGAGCTGTGCTGTTGCTCTGCCTTGCAGATTCCTGATAAGCAGTATGTGCTCACTGCCCTGGCTGCGCGGGCCAAACTGCGTGCTTGGAACGATATTGATGCCCTCTTCACCACCAAGGTGAGCAAAGGAAAGACTTACTGGGAACTCATTTCCCAGTGCTGATATACAGTGTTGATATCTGGCTTATTGTGGTGTTACTGGACAGACTGGTTTTATTTCAGTGGAGCCCCGCATCTCAGTTGCAGGAAGTTACAGTGAGTTGCTCATAGGGCGACTTCCCCTGCATTAGTGTTCTGCTGGACCTGGAAGGGGTTCTCTACCAACTGAACCCAGTCCCTGAAGGGGACTGTCACTGGAGTGACAAGGAATAAGGGGCTCTGTCACTGGAGTATATAGTAACAGATGGGGAAGGTTCCCAATAACTGGAGTAAGATTCTTCCTTCCACACCCTTCAGTGAGAGCAAAAAGTCCCTTATTTCCCACCTCAGTTTGTGTCAACCCTGTTCTCTGCTTTTCTGCCTCTTCTGCCAGTAGCTGGAGAGATTGCATTTAGAGTTAACACTGAGTTTGCCTCTGGTTTCAGAACTGGCTGGGCTATACCAAGAAGAAGGCACCCATTGGCTTCCACCGGGTGGTGGAGATCTTACAGAGGAACAGTGCTCCGGTGCAGGTGAGCGAGATGTCCCTTTGGGTCACTAGCCATTTCTCAGGCTGGCTTACACCTCTTGTGCCATTCACAGGTGCTATTGCCTGTGTCCTGCTCTGCACTGGAATTTGGTGTGAGGCTGAGTGCTGAGCACTCAGTGAGCTAGCTAGTGACCCAAATGTCAACGGCAAATGTGAATAGGTGTAAGAGCTGGCTCCTAGTTGATTGCAAGAGGGACAGCAGGACTAAGGAGGTCTGAGAGAACTCTCCACACAGTGCTTTGCCAGATTTGTTTGCTACATTAGCTTTTATACTTACTTAGTCAGGCAGTGCTTAACCTGTTCCTCAAGAGTGAGATAGTTTAAGACTAGGCACTTTGTTAGCAAAGTTTTACTGCCTCCGTGGTCCTGAGCGGTCTTTTCCTGGTCACTTATTGTCCTAAGGGGAACTGGGTCAAGTCTGTGATAACCAGTGATTTTGTGTTTGGGGTGAGAGTGAGGCAGGAGGGGCCTGAAGAAGTGAGCTAACAGCCTTCCTTTCCTTGCAGGTGCTGCAGGAATATGTGTGCCTGGTGGAGGATGTGGAGACCCGGTTAAACCTGGCTACCAAGTACAAGTGCCACGATGTTGTCATTGATGTGAGTCCCTGCTGTGTGTGTGATGAGTGGGGATGAGAGCCTGCTTTTCCTCCCTAGTTTCCCTGTGCCTCTCTCTTACCTTCCTGCCATGCGCCTGGTGTGATTTTCTTATCCCTGGGACTGGACCTGGGCCCATTCCTGTGGCCTGGGAATGCTGTGGTTGGTGGAAGCCAACTGAACCAGGAGAGCACCTGGGTTTGTGCTGTGTCCAGGCCAGACATTTGCCTAGGCAGCTGAAGTCATCGGTGGGAATTTGAGTGGGGATCAAAGATTGACTCCTGTTCATCTGCAGGACGCCATCCCACTTATCCTTTCACTTACCTGGATTCTGGTTTTGTTCTTTATGTAGACATACAGAGATCTGAAGGATCGTATCCAGCTGGCAGCTTATAGATGCAAAGTGGAGCGGGGCTCTGCAGAAGAAGAGAAGATAGACAGCATTCTCAACAATATGGTAAGAAACACTGCTTTACATTGTACAGACCTTCATCAGAGGCATATTTTGGGTGTGCAGTGAGGACGTGACTGTCCCATATTCTTTCTTTCTCCTGGGAACCTAATGTTATGTTTGGGCTTGCATTCAGTGCAGGAATGAAGGGTGAAACTGATAGAAATATGGGTATACCCACCTTATAGGTGTATTTGTGGTTCTTGGGGTCTGGAGCCCACAAACCTGGCTCTGAAGGGATCTGTAGAAACCCCTGATGCTAATCATGTTATGTTCTGCCTTTTTTTCAGCAAATCCGATGGAAGAACTGAGGAACCCACTTGGCCATTGCTTTGCCAGTGAGAGAGGAAACCATGAAATCCAGTCCAGTGCCAACAGAACAACTCTGATACTTGTCATTGTGTGGTTAATATCCATCAGTGACAGTGGATGCCACAGACAGACATTTGGGCTGGTTGAAGGCAGCTGCTCCAGTCTAGCCAGAGAAACATGGTACTGATCCACCAGAGTTGATTCTTTTTGGAATCTGAGTCTCTCTGACTTGGCAGTAAGCCAGGCATGGCTTGTGTTTACGGATGGCAGTCACTGGGCACAGCAGGATAATGTTTACTTTGTGTGCTGTCAGCTTGTTCCAGCAAGAGGAACAGGTCGCTCACATTCATGGGTCTCTCCAACAGATGATGCTAGCCAGTCCCTGCACACTCCCAGCTGACATGGGCATCATCAGCTATGGCTGTGTCCAGAGTAAAGCCTATGGGGCTGTGGCCTCAAAGACTGTGACGAGGAAAGAACTGTCTCTACTTTAAAGCCTTTTTTTTTCTTTTTTTTTTTTGAGGGGGGTGGGGTTTATTCTGGCTCATCCCAGGAAAAGCAGTATTGTGTGAGCTCCAGAGAGCCAGGGCAGCAGCCTCTGCCAATACCTCCATGCTGGTACTCACCAGGAGACCCAGTACCTGGTGTGAAGCTGGTCAGAGCCCTGCTGGGTTGGGCAATGACCACGTAGGGACCCCTTTGCTTAGGCACAAGCCTGCTGGCCCCAGCAGTTCTTCTCACTGAGAGTGTTATAGCAGGAAGGATTGAACTGCACCTCCTCAGAACATGATTCCTCAGGCAACTGCTGGCGTCATCCTTCCAGACACCACTTTATCTCTTAAATAAAGCTGTCTCTTTCTCCTTGGGTTACTTATTACCTTCCCACACCAAGCACTTTGTCACTCTGAGCACGATCCTGAGCAGTTCATCACACCTCACACTAAGTGAGTAGGTAGGATGTTTATTCATCTCCCAAAAAGCACAATGAGCGTGGCCATGAAGTGGCTTTGCCTACATCAATACCTTATTTTACACTGTCAGTACCATTAGCATGGATGGGTATAGTTGAATGTCTCAGGGCACTTTGTTGCCCTACGGGTGATTACACAGAACTGAAGGTTATGTGTGAAAGTGATGTACTTCCATAAGGAAAAGGCTGAGCTCCAAGATCCCTGCTGCAATCTGTACAAAATGGAATCTCAATTTGTTAGGGTGAGGCTCGCTAACAGGCTGAAATTGTGTGCCCCAGGCTGGACATTGCTCAGTTGTAGGATTTGGAATTGTGTTGCTGGTTGGTGTTTGTGTCAGGGAGCACGAGCAGGAGAAACTGACTGTGTCCATGGAGAAATCTGATGGAACCCTAAACTCATCATGACTGTATTCTGAAAAATGGAGTCTTCATAATAGCAGGAGAAAAACAAACAAAAAGCAGAGGTTGCTGGAGTTGATTTGATCCTACTGTGTGATGGACTTGAATGGCAGGAAAAGCTCTGCTTTTGGGCAAAAAGCTTGGGCTCTGGAAGGAATGGAATTCCTGGCTCTGGGTGCGTAAGGTGGAGATTCTGCTGAGGCGCCCGGTAACCGGGCGCTCGCCGGGGCAGCGGCTCTTGGGCTGCCTTGGCCAGGGGTCCCCGAGGGGCCTGGGGACAGGACACCCAGGGCCTGCAGCCCCACGGGCAGCACCACGTCCTGCTGCAACGTTACCGCCAGGACACGGGAACAGGGACGGAAGCAGAGCAGACAGAAACTGTCAGGTCCCTGTTCCAGTTGTCCTTGTTCCTCGTGTTGGCTGGAGTCACAGGCAGTGGTGGCTGCAGGGGCAGAACAGCTGCAGGATGGGACTGCAACCACTTGGAGTGGATATTTGAATCTGCTGGGCTTTCCAGCTCTGACCGGAGCTTCTCTAAAGGCTGGTTAAGCTGTTTTGTTTCCTCTTACCTCACAGGAGGCACGCCGGATTTGGGTGAGTTGCAGAAACTGGAAAAAGCTCCGTTCTGCTTCATTTTCTCTCTTCTTTGGTGCAGGTTTGTGATATGCTGAACAGTGCTCTAGTCTCAGTCAGGGGACAAACAATTCAAATATTTGAGCAGTATCCTGCTGTGGACAAGAGCACTGGACTGCTGCCCCAGGTCAGACTGAACTGCACCAGGGTCCCTGTCTGCTGAAGCAGGCAGGGCTGGGAGACCCTCCCACTCTAATCCCAGTGCTCTTGCTGACTGAAACACCAGCTCCCCAGCAGAGGTGGGAAGCTGGTTTCACTGGGCTCTAGAGCGCTATGTGGGCTGGTCAGAAGCACTGTTGTCTTGTGTTGGGTGCCCTGCACCCCTGTGAGCATCCCTGGCTTGTGTGGAGCAGTAACACAGGTATCGGGTTCTCGCCTCTGGATGCTGCTGAGCTGGCTGTGCCAAGAAATGAGGACTTACGTAGCAAATGCAGGAAGATGAAGGAATTGATGAATTGCTAAGCTGGAGAGGATGGGAAACACAGTACTATTCTAACATCCAGAAAAATAAAATCGCTCATTCAAGGCTTGATTTTCTCAATACCTTCATCTTCAGAGCAGCGCAAATGAAGTCTGGACAAGTGCTGTGCCAGCAGCTTGCAGTGTCTGTTTGGGGCTCACATAGTAGGGAGCTGTGGCAGATTCAAAAATCCCCTGATATGTCCGGTTCTCCATGAATGCACAGCATGGGGGGACCTGTCACTTTCTAGGCTGCTTCTCTGCAAGGAAAAACCTTGGGAAGAGCTGGGGCCTGTAAGTTGCCTGCGCTCATTCCTGGCAGGTGCGGGGCTGGATTGCAGCACTACATGGGAGGAAGCCACATCCATCTTCTAAATCTTCATTGTGGAAGCTTGTCCTTTGGGCCAGGATGTGGAATATTGCAGACATATTCAAGTCTTCTGAGTCTGAAGAAGAAGTAGAGGGTGAGGAGGCCTTGATGTATCTGGCAAGGCGCTACAAGGGGCTGACAGTGAATGCGTGTGCCCATGCCATCTTCTTCTGCAGACTTCTTCATGCCTTCAGGTAAGGTGGAAGTGAGCTCCCCACTGCTGGCAAAAGGCTGGGTGGCAGAAGCATGTCAGGGAGATAGGCTGTGAGGAAGAAACCTTGGCCCCTTGCAAGGATCTTGCACGAAGCCCTACTGATACCACATGTGCTGTGCTGCATTATGGGGTCTGCAAATTGCCATCTGCCTGAGTCACATTCAAAACCATGCCCAAGGGGTGAAAACCACCTGGTACCTGCATCACCCACTTCCCCATGGGCAATGAAGAACGGTTGTCTGGCAAGGGGCTTTTACTGGCACATAGCTTGTGGGTCCTATTGAGTTGATGCTGGTTCCTCTGCTTCCCCAGGCCAAACAGGACTGAGAAGGCTTTTCCACCCTCCTTGGTGGACAACTCTGGCTTGAAGATTGGGATTATTGGTGGGGGCCGCCTTGGAAAGCAGCTGGCAAAAGCGCTACTGGCTCTGAGCTGCAGTTCTACTAGTACTCCGTGCTGCAGTATCCGCATTTCCACCAGGCGCCCGGAGAGCCTGGGTAAGTGCTCCTCAACCTGGATGTGGAAGCAAGACTGCACTTGCATGGATTATAGCTGGATTTTCCTATAGCACTTCATGCAGAACTTACTAGAGAATGCTCTCCTGCTAAAAATACTGAAAATACTGAAATCTAAAATTTTTACGAGGAAGCAGAGGATGAGATTTTGTAAAAAAACTTCATTCAGTTGGGAACCCGTTGTCCACTAAGTGCTAATTTAGTTGTGTAAGGTTGTTTTCACCAGTCCCTCTGGAGTTTGATGGAGATGTTTACTCTGCTCCTTGGAGAGCCTGTTTCAGGACTAACTAGGGGCTAAAAGGGTCCTAGCGTAGCCTAGGCACACACTCTCTTGCTGCCCTTTTCAAAATTCTCCTTGTCATATGCCACATTTGCTGAAAGTTTTGTCAGCAGTTGAGGCTGCAGCTTGTTAAATATTCACCTAACAGAGAAAACATGTCTCCAGATCTGCAGTACTGCCGAAACTGAGAAGCTCCTCTCCTTTTTAAATTGCTGTAGGGTGACTTGTACAAGACAGGCTTTTTGCTGTGCTCTGAAAAGCTCTGCATGCCCTGCGAGGAGAGGGAATTCAAGTGCAGCATCACAGCAACTGTTTGCCTACAAACTGTCAACTGCCCAGTAAACTCTTATATAAACGAGATGAGTGGGGAGAGCTCTCCTCCAGAGAGATGCTTAGAACAATAAAATCCTCTTTCTAATCATCTCAGAGTAGAGAGTAAACAGGGGCTATTAAATGGCTTTTTATAGATCTAGGAAACCAGCCAGATGCCAAGACTCAGCTGTTTTGGCTAAACCTTTAAATCGGTGTTTGTGAAGCGGGGCCGGGCGGCTGCATCCCCTGCGTGTCCATTCCTGGCAGAGTCGCTTGCTCGCTTTGTCACCAAGGTGCCATTGCCAGGTGGAAATGCTGACGGGGAGCTGCCAATGTCCCGAGTGCCACCCCAGGAGAGCAGTGCCAGCTGTGAGGGGTGCTCGTGTTTCGTCTGTACGGAGTGGAGAGCGGGTCCCAGGCTGCCCGGGCCTGTCTCTGCGGCTCCGAGCCCCTTCCCTCTGCTTATCCCAGCGGAGCTGCAGGAGCAGGGGGTCGGCTGCCTCTACGACAACGCTCAGCTGGTGGCCTGGGCGGATGTGGTCTTCCTGTGCTGCCTCCCGTCGCACGTGCTGACTGTCTGCTCCGCCATTCGGGCTGCCGTCAGGAAGCCCTGCCTCGTGTACAGCCTCGTCACGGCCGTGCCGCTCCGCAGGTAAGGCCGGCGAGCCCGCCTAGGCTGCCCTTGCCTGGGACGGCGTGGGCAGGCCCAGCACGCAGCTCTGGCCATGCGGCAGCGGCAGCACTGCTCCTGCTGCCTCTGGGTTTTATTGCAAAACATCATCACAGACCTTGTCCCGTTCAGTCACTCCCCCAAATTCCCAGTTGCTGGAGCCATGGGAATGCCTTGGAATTACAGCTTTTTGTTTTTCTAAAGGTCTTTTCTAGACTTCATGGCTGTAAACTTGAAAACGTGATCAGAAGACATTAAAAAAAAAAAAAGTCAAAAATCTCCAAATCAAAAACAATCCTGGCTTTGAAAATCCCCTCCTGACATGGCTTCGGATTGTCACTGTAAGGCCCATTGTAAACTGCCCAGAGAAAAATGGAGGGGAAAAATACAGCTTCATCTCAAGCTGCTGCTGTAACTTGGGAGAAGAGCCTGTCCTGGGGGTTTGAATGCACAGAGGGTTTTACTCATGCTCTGTGGTCAGTCCAGTCCTTGGCCTGCTGCTGAGGTAACTGATCAGATGTAAAACTGTTCTGTGACATGCTATGGGTTAGGCTGTTGACTGGTGAAAAGGCTGCTGATCCCACAAATAATAACTGCTGACCTTCTTATGGTGATTGAAGAAGTTCCTGCTTCCTCCTCCTCCTTTCTGCCAGTTAAACCCAGTTTCTGCCCTCCCACTCAACCTAGGCAATGTCCTCATACACTGAGGGAGCAATAACAAGGGATGATTATTTTATTTTATTTTATTTTATTTTATTTTATTTTATTTTATTTTATTTTATTTTATTTTATTTTATTTTATTTTATTTTATTTTATTTTATTTTATTTTATTTTTAAGCAGACCACTCATGCTACAAAACTGACAGTCCTGTCACTCTCTTTCCAGCAGCAATATTAAAGCTCACAGAACAGTTTGAACACAGGCCCTGAAAAGCTGTCAAATAGGAAGAACCTCTACAATTGGTTGTAGTAACTATTAAAAAAAAAAAATAAAAGTAGTCAATAAAAAGCCTTAGTAGCTTGAATTCCAGCACTGTTGACTCGGCTGCTGCTGATTGGTACAATAGGACAGTTCTTGTGGTTTCTCTGTGTTTCCCTCAGGTATGATCTTAAAAATCCACGATCTCCTGTGCACCCTGCAGCCACTGCCAGCTCGTGCACTTGCTCAGAGCGAAGGTCTGCCTGGGCCAGTGGTCATTCACCTCGGTGCTGTGCTACATGCTCCGAAAGCTGCTGTGTCCTGGCAGCGGCTGTTGCATCTCTGCAGTTGCTGTAGGGTCTGGGAAGCTCTCTGGGGCAAGGAGTGCTTGAGGGGACATCCTCTTGCTTTTTGCCACTCAGTTTTTTGGCTGGCTTTGCTTTCAGGTTGAAGCAACTCCTTTCCTACAGTGCCATCATGAGGCCACAGTATCAGTGTGGTGGCAAGGAGCCCAGCAACGAGTGGAAGACGAAGGGGACGGTCACAGCAGCACTGCAAGACCCTGCTGTTGTGCAGGCAACATGCCCCTGCAGTTCCCAAGGTAAAATCCTTCCCTGCCCCCTTTCTTCTTTATTTGATTGTAGCTTTTTCTGGATTTGCGCTTTGCTTTTCCAATGCCTGTAATACTCTGAGCTGGAAAGGGATTGAGAGCAGCTTTTAAACAGGATGGTGCATAAATGGGTCCTGACTGCATCTCCCACACCTGTTTCTCTAATTAATGCTCCTGGTGCCACATTAACTCTTCTCTGTTAATGTATCATCCAATTTTTGAAGAACTTTCTGTTGGTGAGACAACAGCAGCTCTAAGGCTCAGGCAAAAACCACGAGCAGGAGCTGAGATCTACTTTCTGAGCAAGCAGCTGGTCCAAAATCTTTCTCTCACACCTCAGGCAGAACTTCTGCTTCCATATTCATACCCTTCCTATAGCCAGTTTGGCAATTACTAGCAACTACCTCTATCCACCACAATTTCATTATACGCTACTTAATTCCTACCTTGCTGAATTAATTCTTAAAATGACCGGAGTGCTGTTACTCTGTGATGGCTGTTGGACTAAATCATTATATGGCTTTATATGCTGCTTGTAAAGAACACCTCTGTACACTTGCAGGAAAAACACTGCAAAAAATATAAACTATACTAGGCTTGTTTGCTATTCCTTTAAGCACGCCTCACCTAAGATCATCCTAAACCACAGGTTTCAAATAAACCAGATGTAATTGCTGATGCAATTCTTCACAGGAGCGCGAGAATGAAATACCTCCTTACACTTGCATACACATTGGTTATTGACCTTTGATTTTTGGTTGCTATGCAGGGACAATCAGAGTCAACACCAAATGGTTGGTGGCCGTTTTCTACGCGGCGCTGAACAGCAGCATGTGGCAGCGCCTGCCTCACCAGAAAGCACTGCAGTTACTCAATGACCTGTGTTTTCCTGAACACTGCCCCATCTGTGCAGAAGGGAAAACTTGCTGTCCACGATTTGTGTGTGAGAGTTTTGTCAGCAAAACGTTTGCCTCTTCAATGACTCAGGAGGAGTAAGTAAAGGGTTGAACGTTGAGGTGCTGCTTGTCCAGGCTTTTGCTTTGCTCTCAGACTTGCCCTGATCCATAGTTAAAGCATGGACTTCTCTTGTTGGGTTGGAAGGCACTCAACTCTGAGCTGGTGTTGCTTTCAGAACCATATACCTGCTAAGGAAGATTGCTCTAGTTATTATTTTAGCAATAGAAAACTTGGATTTCTGTCTACAAGCTATTTTGTCCCTAGTTCCCACTGGGATACTTGTGAGGATTATCTAAAGCCGCTAGTCAGGACAGGGGGTTGTAGCATTGGATGCAGAAAAAAAAATCCTGTAGAAATACCTGGAGAGGACTGTTCTTATGGGTAATGGATTTATGGTAGTTCACAGACTGCCCAGGATGTAAGATTGAGGATACACTGATCGACAGAAGAGGCTCTTACTTGTGCATGAGCCTTTATGTTCAGTTTTGCTCCCCATGGCAGTTCTAGCTTTGAATGCCTGGAACAGCTTAAGACTGAAGTCTAAGCTTCATTGTCTCTTAAAGGCCTGAAAAAGAGAGGAGCAGTGAGAGATCAAGAAAACCATTCTTTGCTAAATTATTAGCTGGTGTGGGCTGTTGTTTCCCCAAATCACTCAGCTTTTTTTTTCTTTTTCTCTTCCCAGAACTTTCCCCTGGTTTGACCTCACAGCTGCACAACTGAGAGAGTCTCCCTTTAGCCAGCTGCTAGAAGGCAGTGAGTCTGTGCGGAGCCACCTCGCTCGGCTCTATCAGGGGGCCTTTGGAGACTGGTCTACAGAGCCACGCGGGCTGGTCAGCACCAGCACGTCTCTCACTTCAGCTGCAGTGGAGCCTGGTGTGACGGAGGATCACAGGACCTCGCTCTCCACAACTGCCTCTGAGATGTCATCAGAAGATCTGGAGGAAACTACTGACAGTGATTCTAAATCCTCATAGACTATAACAGGGCCCACAATAGACTCCTTTGCTGAGATCCCATCCCGAAGGGGTCATAACCTGGAGATATTTATAACCTTTTCCATCAGTTCCTACTGCTGAGATCCCATCCCAAAGGGGTGATAACCCAGAGATATTTATAACCTTTTTCCATCACTTCCTTCTGCTGGTTTCAGACAGTTGTACATGATGAAAGAAACACTGTGAAGACTTCATCTTGCAAGGGAATACTAAACACCTAATAAATATTTATTGAACCATTGCTCAATCATAACATAAAACATTAATGGCAGTAGATAAAAGATTAGATAGTGGAATTACATTTACTGCTGTGATTTGAAACACCATTTTCTATCAATCTTAAGCCTTGCCAGCAATCTGGCAGATCTGGCAGAGATCATGAGATCTCTGACTTTGGCATTTTGAGGGCTGAGACAGCTCCCTATGGTGTTGAAGCCTAGGCCTAGGCTCACTGACAAATCAGTATGGGTCTCATTGCCAGTGAGCAGGCTCATGCTGAACAGCCAGGGAATAAGACAGTGACTCGTTGCCTCAGATTGGTGTGAGGAATATGAGCACAGCCCTGTTTGCTCCTGAAGTGTTTTAAAATGTCCAAGCTGACAACTCTATGAACGTATTTGCTTCTACAAGTTTCACACAGGAGACTTCCCTGTGCTTGTCCTGCTTGTCCCTGGCTGCCTGAGTCTTGCTTTATTTCAGTCTGAACCTGCTTATTAAGAAGTCATAATGCAAAGCTGAATCAGCACAAAGTCTTAGCCTGTTCCCAGGCTCAACCTCACTGGGCTTCTGATGCAGTTTTAGGAGGAAACTGAACTACAGTTATGCTTTAGAGGCTACAACTTTGTGCTAAATAACTAAGAGGTCTTCAAATACAAAAGTGCAGGAGAAGTCTATTTACTTGGGCTATAAGAAAGTAGAAAGTAATTAGCAATTGCAGGTAATTAAAACACATCTATGATTGTCTTTTGGTCTTGTTAATCAACTGTGAAGCAGCAGAGAATGATAGAGAGCGGTACAATTGTGTCTGAATTACAGCTTTTGCTTTGCTTAATTCTAGAAGCAAACTAAAGAATGATGATTGCAGAAAAAAAAACCCAAAACAACTAATTCAGGGTATAGGGATGTGTTTTCTATCCAGAAATGGCTAAGAGCAGCCATGTTCCTGATTTTAATCTAGAGAAAGAGGAACTGTCCCAGCTTGGACATGCTGCAAGGTGTAAGTTTGTCTTATGGCTGTCCCAGATGACTTTTTACAGAGATGGAACAGGAGTGTGAGCCTCTAATCCTGACTCTGGATGTTCTCCGATGCTGGAAGAGTATCTGCTTCCACCCCACTCTGGGTTTGTTCCAAAGGGGGAACTGCAGCATAGGGCTCCAGTCCTGCTTCTTGGATGAACTGTGAGAAAGTGAGGGCGTCTGCGCGCTCTCCTGTCTGCGACTTCTGCTCCAGGAAGAGACCCATGTTGTCTCTGTACGGGAGGGCAATGGATCTGCTGAAGAGAGGTTCCTCAATCCCCAGCAACTCCCGCACGTGTCGTGAAATCTCCTGAAATATAAGCCAAAAATACCAGAAATTCTCATTTCACAAGGCAATAACTAATACCATTCATTCTGTACCAGAGCAGCAGAGAAAGGAACGGAATTTCTGAATTTCGGGGCCTTTTCACATTTGCAGTTCAAGTGGGATCTGCACCCGCGGGTCCAGTGTGATACTATAGGAGCAGAAGGGTTGGCTCCTTCTCCAGATTTGCTCTGGGGGACAGCGTCACAGCTGCTCTCTATAGGGACACAGCAGCTTTGCTTTCCTGTTTGCACTTGCAGAACAAACAAGTCACAGGTGAATGAGCTGGATTCTGCCCCACGTAACATAAAAACATTACCATTGTTTGCTAAATTGTATTGTCAAGACCAGAATCTTTTGATAGAAGAGGTGGAAAAACTAATCAAACCATTAACCTTATTGCTTGTTAAGAAAGTTATGGGTGACTGGCTGTCTGAGCCAGCTGGACCCAGGACTATCAGGTAACAGAGACTTACCACAATTTTTGAAGTCACTTTTGAGACTATAACCTTGTGGTTTGACTAAGACATTGAAGAACAGTTCACAAGGTTGTGCTGATCTTTCAAAACATTCACTTTCACTCAAATCTTCCCCCAACCTCTACTTGGTATAGAGAGGTACCTACTTTGTGTCCTACCTAAAGAACATCGGGCTGGTACCTTGAGAGTTGTGATATCATTTAAAAAAGCAAGAAAGCAGAATTAAAACCAACAGTAAGGTTTTTTTTGTCCATTCTGAGGAACTTCTACCAAATCTAGTGAATACAGTTTCTCTAACAAGCTGCTGTTTTCCCTATATTGCAAAAAAATATTTCTATCTCAGTGAACTGTTGCTAGGACGTTAATTACTGTACTAAATGTCTGGGTTTTGGCTGTTCACAGGCTTTTGCTGACACTCCTTATTGTGAGTCTGGTGTGCCCATAAGCACGGTACTATGGCCTTACCTTTGCATCCACCTTAGCAGGCTCTTACCGAAAGAGCCAACTGGGCCATGTTCTGCTCTGGCTTAAGAAAACTTGGATTCTATCAGACCTGACTCTAAATTGAGTGGCAGCAAATAAATCTTGGATTAGGACATGATTTTTGGGAACATCTAGGTTCCACTGAAGTCCGTGGGAAGGTCCCAATTCACTTAGGAGCATCTGAGAACCTTACAAAACCAACAGTTCCATGTTCAGGTTTGCTGCAGAGTGTTGGCTCTTGCTTGTCCTAGCCCTGAAATATTTCTCCTTTAGTTTCTACTGGAGGAAGAAGAGGCTTTCCAGGTGATTTCTGTAACCTGTGATTTCTCTAGCCACCATATATCAGTGGTATACATACCATTACCATATACAATCTCTATGTTTCAATTTGAGAGATTTAAAACCATGTAAGATGCCTGGATCTTTGACGAACACAAATGACTGGCTCTAAGGCCAGCTGTATCCGCATATTTGCTGCTGTGCTTCAATGGCTGCTCTCTGAGAAACTAGGCATTGCAGTTTGTTACCTTCTCCTCCAACCAACAGGCAAATTCTTGGTGCTAATCCATATTTTTTGACATGTCATTTATTTCAAAGGGTTAAGATTGCTCAAGCCAGGCAGAAACTTAGTGGTCAAATTGTTTTTATGATGCTGTAGAATGGGGGGAAAAACCAGCATTCATAGGCTAGTTATTGGAGCATAAAGATTCTATCTCTTGCTGCTTATTTGAACCTTGTATCCTCTGGGGAAAGCAGCTGTAAGTTATTATATAAAACAAATGGTTTTGCCTCTGTACAAGCAGTCCCTCTGTGGTTTCTGCCACAGAGAGGAAGGAGGGTGAACAAATGGAAGTGAACTTGATCTGATGGATGAGGAGATCAAAGACTCAGCTCTAGCAGAATCAAATTGTCAAGATAAATAAGTAATTACCCCTTTTAGTCTTGCTGTTTTGTCTTACATTTTGCAGGTGGAAGAAATAGATGCAAACAGAGGCTCCAGATTCTTTTTTTTTTTTTCCTAAATATCACTTTGCACAAAAACATTCAGAGATCCTAGGTCTCCCTGTAATATGAATGAATTCACAATCCACACACGTTTATTTGTGGAATTCAGGTTAATGACGTAAAAATAGCTAATAATGAGTTTAAACCGGTAACAAATCTCAAGAATTTGGCCGAAAGGACTTTTCTAAAATCACAGATATCCAGTGGGAAAACTAGAAGTCAGCAAGGCCAAGGGCACTCTCTGGCTTTTCACTCACTGCATTAGCTAAAAAACTGCAGTGAGCCGCCCTGAAAAGCTGGAAACAAAAACAAACAAACAAACAGCCGTCAGCTTTAGTTAGTTTCTCAGTCATATATGTAAAAATAAAAAAGGAGAAAAGATGGTCCTGCAGCTACATCAGGGAGATGGTACCTGTATTTTTCTTCTAGGCTTGTCATAGTTTTGCTACACAATTTTGAGCTAGTGTTCTTGTCTCTATTTTCTTATAATTATGAGGACCTCGCTGGCATGCTGACATTCCTTTCACTCAGTCACCCCGTTGTTCCAGGCTCAGATATCCCCTTTGCGTGAGCGTCACTCCAGGGCTCTGCAGACAGGCTGATCCCTGCAGCCTCTCTGGCCATCAAGGCTGCCTGTGCTGCTTTGCACTGGGGTTCTGCTTAAGCCCAGCTTCTGTTGAGCCCCTATCAGATTTCCTTCTGATCCTTCCACAGTAGCTGACTCTATGGACCTCTGATGGGGCTTCCTATATCAATAATCTAAATCAATGTAAAGTGGTTTTAATCTGGTTTCTTTTTACAGTTGGTGTTTTGGACTCATTTTTATATATAACCATGCTTCTCCTGTGGTAAAGACCTATGGTAACGAGCCTTGCTGGGACTCAATGCTCAGTCCTATTGGTTTTACAAGAAATCAAACTACAGATTGTCTGCCAAAGTTAATGTCTTTAACCCTAAGCGTGACGTGAGGACAGCCAGAATCACAGGGAATAGTAGATGAAGGGTGCCCTTGCCCAGAGAGTTGATCATTCCCTGTATGAGACTGAAATTTCTTTTGGAACAGTTCAACTAAATTCACGACTCTCTATTTATGATTCTCTACTGCTTAACAGGGCGTGTGTTAAGTGTTAGACAACTCTTTCTCGACGCTCATCTTCATTAATTTTCTGCTTCTTTGCTAATTTAATGGTCATGAGGAGTTGAAACAGCAGCAATCAAGCTACAGATCCCAACAAAGAAAAAGGCAAATCATTATTAGTTCCTCTCTTTTACACTCTACAAATAAGCACAGGAGACATCTGTGCTGCCTCCACATTCATGTGCAAAGTCTCTTCTAAAATCAGAGGTTTCCTTTGGCTAAGAGCTTCTAGATTGATGTTCATAGTTATAATAAAAACTAAAATGTAATCATCACAAAAGCTAGAAGTTTTAGTGGATCCTTAACCATTCTGATATTGATCCAAACTTCTTAGCACACATCTCTAACATCTCATAGCACTGTATTTCTACTCATTTTAGTGGAATTTCAGTACATTGTACAAGAGCAGCATGATTTAATGAAGCATTTCAAAGGTTGAGGTTTTTTTAATGTCTTTTGTTGCTTCATGACAAGTTGCTCTTTTCCCTTATGGTTCTAGGTAAACCTAAATGATAATAAAAAGATATAAAATTATATACAAATATATTACATATGTTTCAAATATGAAGTGCTTTTCTGAACCTTTAGGGAACTTTTCAAGGCCATAATGTATCCCTGAGCCTAGTCCAGCTGGCATCACAATGTTCATGTATTAAAAACCATTGAAGGGCTATGGAAAAGTGGCGTGTTTACAGAAGGGGGAATTGGCCCGCATGCAGTCTGTGTTCAGCAGAGTATAAAAGAAGGAAGTAATAACGAGTAATAACGAGGTGCCCTTCTGCTGCTTGGGATCTCTGCTTCAGTTGTGCCAGGTAAAAGTTCGTTTTCCTTTGGGGAAATTCTACAGAGTACCTCGAGGCGATCACAAAATGGAAAACTACTGGGAGGAAATTCTGGTGGGAACGTCGGGAAGCCCCAGGCGTGTCGGTGAGCGGCGGGTGCCCCACAGGCCCGAGGCCCCCGGGCACTCGGCGAGGCGGGAGCCGCCACGCGCGGCCGCTCGGCGGCACCTGGGGCTCGGGCCGGTCTGCGAACACGGGCCCAGGGCACGAGGCGAGGGGCCCTGCGGCCGCACCTGCATGTGCCCGAAGTCGGTGACGCCGATGGCCGGCAGGCTGGCGCAGCTCACGAGGACCAGGCGGCGGCCGCTGATGCCGTTGTCCCTGAAACAGGCCTGCGCAGCGGGCTCGGTGGCCGCCGGCCGCGCTCCCGCCCGCGCCGCGCTCCCCGCCACCGCCGCGCACCTCGTACTGCGGGAAGCCGAGCGCGGCCACCCACTGTGCCACCTCCTCCGCGCTCCACGCCAGGAAGGGGCAGGCGGGATCCTGCCCCGACGGCTCCCCCGGCTCCTGCGGCCCCTCAGCCTCCCCCAGCTCCCGGGGCTCCTCCGTCTCCCCCGGCTCACAGGGATCCTCGGTCTCCCCCGGCTCCGGCTCCTCTGGCCCCTGGGTCCCCTCAGTCCCGCCCGGCCCCTGGGTCTCCTGTGTCCCCTGGGTCCCCCGGGTCCCCTCAGTCCCGCCCAGCCCCTGTGTCCCCTGTGTCCCCTGGTTCCCCTGTGTCCCCCGTGTCCCCTCAGTCCCGCCCGGCCCCTGTGTCCCCCGGGTCCCCTGTGTTCCCTGTGTCCCCCGGGTCCCCTCAGTCCCGCCCGGCCCCTGTGTCCC